TCTTCATGAATTCCAATCGTTTTCATAATTTTACGAGTATCATTATAGATTTCTTCACGTAATCTATTACTTAATGTCTAAAATAGAACTCCAAACATCAAAAGATATGTGGCATTGTAACATATTCTTACCAAAAACCTTTTTGCACTTGGGTAAAGAAAAGTGGCAATATAATGCAACGAGATTATGTGAAATTTTTCATCCAGCATTTTCGATACAACACTTTTATATTGAGCTATTAGTAAGTGATCATCGTCTTTAAGTTCACACGAATTTTTCAATATCGCGAACCAAGGCACTACCAGATGGAGAGTTGGCGTTTTATCAGCAGATATTTCCTCGCTTGCTACTTTGAATAAAGATAAAAATTTAACAAAATCCATTACTACTTTTCTACTAATATCGTTTAAATAAAATGTTTCATTTTGATCAAACAATAAATCTTCACATTGTTGAAAATTTAATGAAATAGATTCCAACATATCATGAATTGAATTCCAACAAGTATCGACATTCAACTTGAGACTAGTTGGTAATGATTGGTTCATTTCACATCGTTTGAAATGGGTGCATACATTTTGACAAGATTTAATTAACGATTCGAAACCAGGACATAATGTAACACCATTTTGTAAAGCCAAATTTAAACAATGACAAACACAACGAAGATGAACTTCTCCTTCTGCGCACAGGAAAAATGCCACAAAATGAAAGCTTGAGAAAAACAATACTTACTCAGACCACAAACAAGATTCGATTCATTATCAGTTACATAAATAATATGAAATTCATTTGGGTCAATGCCATAACGTGATAAAGTAGCAAAAATTTTATCTCGAGTATTGTCACCCGTCTTCGATTGCTCGAACAATGAAGCTTGAAGCATGTGACTGATATTCTGTGCATCTTTGGAATAATGAATATTTATAGTCAAATAACTCTCACTAGTACCACTATTCTTCCAATAATCTGTAGATATACCTAACAGCTTCACTTGTTGTAAATCATCTTTTAATACTTGCTTCAGCTTTTCCCTATATTCTTCTGATATGTGTGATATGGTGCGAGAAACATTTGTTGGATCAGGCAGTATTGAACTTGTTAAGGGTGCACCAAGTTTGCCGCAGCCATATTGGTGACCGAGATTGATCAAACATTGACATAAAACATTAAAACCATTGCCTTTGACAATATTAAATGGTCTTAAATCGAAAGCACAAAATTTTGCACAGGCAATTGTAATTGATCGCTTATCATCGACTGAAACATTAACACATGCAGGTTTTGATAAATAATTATGAAGAGTTTTATTCTTTTTTATTTGTTTTGATTTATCAAGACAGTTTGTCACAGGAGAGCTTATTGTCGATGTTCCATTCGAAATCGAATATGATAATATTTCATAACATAATTGACATTGCACAAATGGTTGATATTGATCATTTGGACATTTAATACGTGACAAATGTTCCCAAAAGAATCCATGTGATGCTAATGGTGGTCCAGCATGGGCTATTAATTCACTACTTTTCAATTTTTCTATCACGTCTTTCTTTTTTCGCTCAATATCTTTCTTGGAATCTGGCATAAATTATTTTTATGAGTGGAAGAATTTGGCTAATATTGATAATGGTATTGGAGAGACTATTTAATGAGAAAAAATATGGTGAAACTCAATAGTGCAAGATGAAATACATCCAAAACGCTACATATACAAAGAATAAATAGTACCGTTTCTATTTCTGACTGAATATTTGTAGCCAATTGAACTTATTTATCGACTATTTCTATAGATTCTTTTAATATTTTTTCAAAGATGTCATCAGCATACAGTGTTCAGTATTTTTTCCAGGTTGACAGGTTACAAGATTTATACCCTGCCACCTGCCCTGTACAAATTTTCGTAACCTTACCCTGTCCTGCCCTGCCAGGGCAGGTCAGGACAGGTTAACCGTACCCTGCAGGGCTCTACGCCGAAATTACTCCATGAATATTCGCATCTGCTTTTTCGCATAGTAATCTCCATGAAAATTGTTTCAACAATGACATATGAATCCTTGTTCATCAGTCGGATCACTTCTCAGATGGCAAGGCTGTGAGTGGCATTCGTCATGACGTAAATAAGAACGTGACCCAAAATAATCGAGAGGACAGATACGAAAGGGATTGTTCATATTCATCAGTTCTCCACGATCTAGTAATTTGCATGTAGCATTCGAAGAACATTTCCGATCGAATTTATTTTGATTGATTATTTCTTGGCGAAGCATTTATTAGAAGAAAAACTTCAAGAGAAATATTTTCTCTCTACTCATTTTCATTAGTCACAAGGTAGTTAAACATGATCAAAGTAAAAACAAATATAACTTACCTGGACATTTCTATAACAAAACAATGACAGTTGAATTAAAAACATGTTTACATTTATAGAAGATTATGTTCTGCTTATATTAGTTACCTATATTGATAGAAATACTGGCTGTCACACGTTTTTTCGTGTTATATCAAGAAAAACAAAGCAAATCAGTAAATCATTGGTTATTCATCAATTGAATAACATGAAAATAAAGAAAAATGAAAAGATATTTATCTTATTTATTCAAAAAGATAAAATAATGCACATCGATCGAAATGAATGTGCATTGTAATTTGATTATAGCGAAAGAAACGTAAAAAGGTAAATCTATGCTTAAATGATCAATAAATATGCATTTATCAACTAAAACATTTTTATTTTAATCATTAAGAAGAAATTTGATAAAACAAATCAATTCAACATGGATGAAGTAAGAAAGAAAGATTGGTAAAATATTATTTTATATTATATTTTTATTTAGAATGAATTGATTTCAATGAATAATTCATCGAATTGCGAACAAAATCAAATTCATCAAATAGAAAGCGAATCTGATGTAGAACTCAACGATAATTATAATGCTACAAATGAAAACGATTCATTGCAGAATCTTTCATTCGATTTGTAAGTCTTTCTTCTCTTCGTAATTCATCTTATTCTTATTTTTCGTTCTATGAAGGCAATTTCTTGGTTTGAAAATATCAATTCAACTTGTTATTCGTATATTGATTTGTTTATTTCTGATAATTCTAATGACGATTGGAATTATCGTTGTTTGTTTTACTACACCGAAATCTAAAAGTTCGTTTATTTCTATAACAAATAAGAATATTAAACAAAAACAATTTTCCTTTGATTCCTTTTTCCAGTGAAGCGCTGTGAATTAAATTTTGTACAAAGATATCCGAATCCAATTGAATATAATTATGGTCCACAATCAGTAGCTATTGGTGATTTTAATCAGGACTCATGGATGGATATGGTTATTGTTAATTCAATTGTTAATAAAATTGATATTTATTTGGGATTAGATGATCAATCGTTTTCAAAACAATTTTATTATTCAACGGGAATTAATTCAAAGCCAACGATGGTTGCTGTTAATCATCTGAATGATGATTTCTATTTAGATATTGTTGTGAGTAATTATGGAAAACATTCAATTGGAATTTTCTATGGACTTGGAGATGGATCATTTCGAAATCAGAAAGAAATTTTAACAGGAATATCAAGACCAATATCAGTTCATTTAGTTGATATAAATAATGATTCATTTTGTGATATTATTGTTATTAATTATGGTACAAATAGCTTCACCATTTTCTATGGAAATCAATATGATTTCTTTGCAAAATCTCAAACGTATTCAACTGGATATGATTCTCATCCATATTTCTTGGCTACTGGTGATTTAAATAATGATCAAAGATTGGATATTATTATTGCTAATCATGGTACAGATAATATTGCTGTTTTTTTTGCCAATGAAAATAATTCATTCGAAAATCAACTAATGATTTCGATGGGAAGGAATTCACGTCCAGTATCAGTAGCTATCACTGATCTTAATTCTGATGATCAACTTGATATTGTTGTGACAAATTTTGGCACGAACATGGTTTGTGTGATGTTAAATGATCAGAATGGAACATTTTCAAAACAAACATTCTATACGACAGGATCTGTGTCTCCATATTCAATTGGTATTGGTGATTTTAATGGAGATAATCATTTAGATTTATTTATTACTAATATTGGAATAAATAATACCGGATTATTTCTTGGTTATGGAAACGGAAGTTTTCGAAGTGGTCTAATGAATTCAACAGGCTCATCTTCATCAATTTCATTGGCTTTATTTGATTTGAATAAAGATGAAAGATTAGATGCAATTATTGTTAATAATGATACTCAAAATATTAATATTCTTCATGGATACTTTCAAGGTTTTCCACTTCCTACAAAATTTGACATTAGTTCTCCTTCGACATTTATAATTAGTCGTGATTTAAATCACGATATGGTATTAGACTTGGTAATTCTTGTTTTAATTCGCAACCAAATGATGATTTGTTTGGGTAAAGGTGATGGATCGTTTACATATAAAATATTATATTCAACTGCTTCTACTCCATATTCAGGAGCTATTGGAGATTTGGACAATGATACTCATGTTGATATAGTTGTTGTTAATTATAATAGTAATAATATGTACATATATTTTGGAAAAGGTGATGGTACTTTTCCAACTAGCATTACATATCCAACGGGTCGTGCTCCTTCTTTTGTAGTTGTTAATGATTTCAATAACGATAACAAATTGGATATTGTTATTACCAATTATAATGATAGTACTACAAGTGTTTTTCTCGGCTATGGCAATCGTTCTTTTGCATCGCCTATGACATATTTGACTGGCATTCAACCACGGTCCATAGCTATAAGTGATATAAATAACGATCAATTTCTTGATATAATTGTTGTCAATTTTTATAATAATAGTATAAGTATTTTCTATGGGTTTGGCGATGGAAGCTTTGCGAATCAAACGACATATTCAACTGGTAGTTCTCCTTCGTTTGTGACAGTTGCTGATTTTAATAATGATAGCTATATGGATGTTGTTGTTAGTTTGTATACTGGCCAAGTTGTAACTGTTTTTTTGGGCTTTGGAAATGGTTCTTTTGGAAAACAAGTTACATATGGCGTTGGTTCCTATCCATCATACATAGTGATTGATGACATGAATAATGATACACATCGAGATCTTGTGGTTACTTGTACGGGTGTAGGAATTATTTATATTTTATTTGGATATGGAAATGGTTCGTTTAGTAATGCCCAGTCATATTATACAAATATGAGTTCTTCGGGCGTAACTCTTGGTGATTTCAATGATGATAAAAGATTGGATATAATTGTAACAGATACGTGGAGTATTTATATAGGAATATTACTCCAAAATAATCAAGGAAGTCTTGTAAATCATTTAACTTATGCATCAAGTGGAAGTTCGAAATTAAGATCAATGTTAATTAATGATATAAATAACGATACTTATTTAGATATTATCACTGCTAATTATGCTACTGACGATCTTACTGTTTTTTTCGGTGAGGATAATATGAATTTTGATGATGAAATAAAGATTCAATTGGATACAAATTCGCATCCATTATCAATTACTTTTGGTGATTTTAACAACGATCAACAATTGGATCTTGCTGTAGCTCTTGCTGCTCCATCAAATCAGATTGGAATGTTACTTGGAAATGAACACGGATCATTTGTTCTTCAAGATATTATCCAAAATCGTTCAAATTCTCCTCCTTTGATTGTTTCAGCTGGTGATTTTAACGCTGATGGACAATCAGAAATTNATCCATCGAATTGTGAACAAACTCAAATAGAAAGCGAATCTAATGTAGAATTCAACGACAATTATAATACTAAAAATGAAAACGATTCATTTCAGAATCTTTCATTCGATTTGTAAGTTTTTCTTCTCTTCGTAATTCATTTTATTCTTAGTTTTCGTTCTATGAAGACAATTTCTTGGTTTGAAAATATCAATTCAACTTATTATTCGTATATTAATTTGTTTATCTCTGATGATTCTGATGACAATTGGAATTATCATTGTTTGTTTTACTACACCAAAATCGAAAAGTTCGTTTATTTCTATAACAAATAAGAATATTAAACTTTGATTTCTTTTTTCAGTGAAATATTGTGAATTAAATTTTGTACAAAGATATCCAAATCTAATTGAATATAATTATGATCCACGATCAGTAGCTATTGGTGATTTTAATCATGACTCATGGATGGATATGGTTATTGTTAATTCAATTGTTAATCAAATTGATATTTATTTGGGATTAGATGACCAATCATTTTCAAAACAATTTTATTATTCAACGGGAATTAATTCAAAGCCAACGATGGTTGCTGTTAATCATTTGAATGATGATTTCTATTTAGATATTGTTGTGAGTAATTATGGAGAACATTCAATTGTAATTTTCTATGGACTTGGAAATGGATCATTTCGAAATCAGAAAGAAATTTCAACAGGAATATCAAGGCCAATATCAGTTCATTTAGTTGATATAAATAATGATTCATTTTGTGATATTATTGTTATTAATTATGGTACAAATAGCTTCACCATTTTTTATAGAAATCAATATGATTTCTATGGAAAATCTCAAACGTATTCAACTGGATATGATTCTCATCCATATTTCTTGACCACTGGTGATTTAAATAATGATCAAAGATTAGATATTATTATTGCTAATCATGGTACAAATAATATTGGTGTTTTTTTTGCCAATGAAAATAATTCATTTGAAGATCAACTAATGATTTCGATGGGAAGAAATTCACGTCCAGTATCAGTAGCTATCACTGATCTTAATTCTGATCATCAACTTGATATTGTTGTGACAAATTTTGGCACGAACATGGTTTGTGTGATGTTAAATGATCAGAATGGAACATTTTCAAAACAAACATTCTATACGACAGGATCTGTATCTCCATACTCAATTGGTATTGGTGATTTTAATGGAGATGATCATTTAGATTTATTTATTACTAATATTGGAATAAATAATATCGGATTATTTCTTGGTTATGGAAATGGAAGTTTTCGAAGTGGTTTAATGAATTCAACAGGCTCATCTTCATCAATTTCATTGGCTTTATTTGATTTGAATAAAGATGAAAGATTAGATGCAATTATTGTTAATAATGATACTGAAAATATTAATGTTCTTCATGGATATTTTCAAGGTTTTCCACTTCCTACAAAATTTGATATTAGTTCTCCTTCGACATTTATAATTAGTCATGATTTAAATCACGATATGGTATTAGACTTGGTAATTCTTGTTTTAATTCGTAACCAAATGATGATTTATTTGGGTAAAGGTGATGGATCATTTACATATAAAATATTATATTCAACTGCTTTTACTCCATATTCAGGAGCTATTGGAGATTTGGACAATGATACTCANATACAAATTCGCATCCATTATCAATTACTTTTGGTGATTTTAACAACGATCAACAATTGGATCTTGCTGTAGCTCTTGCTGCTCCATCAAATCAGATTGGAATGTTACTTGGAAATGAACATGGATCATTTATTCTTCAAGATATTATCCAAAATCGTTCAAATTCTCCTCCTTTGATTGTTTCAGCTGGTGATTTTAATGCTGATGGACAATCAGAAATTGTTGTTGCATATGACAGTAGTGACTCAATTGATATGTTCATTACATATAATACCGGAACTTTTATAATGACATATAAATATTCAGTTGGTTTATCTCCGAGATATGTAGTTCTTGATTATCTTAATAATGATAGTTATATTGATATTATTCTTGTTGAATATGACTCATATGATATAAGAATTTTTTATGGAAAAGAGAATGGAAGTTTTACAGATCCAAGAGTATATCCAACCGACGTTCGCCCACATTATGCTGCAGTTGGCGATTTTAATTCTGATCATCGACTAGATGTAGTTGTTGGAAATTCTGGTGTTCATATACTCAACATATTCTTCGGATATGATAATGATACTTTTTCTAATCCAATTACTTATTCGATTGACGACGGTATACGACATCTAGCAGCGGGTGATTTTAACGAAGATAATCGATTAGATCTAGTTGCCGTCACTGAGAGTCAAACTATCATTCTATTTCAAGGATTGAGTAATGGTTCTTTTTTCGTAACTGAAATTAAAAATCGAAGTACAGATGATCAACGATTCATAGTTGTAGCTGATTTTAGTAATGATTCTCATTTGGATTTTGTTATTTCGAATTATCGTAACAATTACGTTGGTATTTATCTTGGTTATGGAAATGGCTCTTTTACTCAACAAATAACATATTATGTTGACTCCCATCCATATGCATTAGCAGTGGGCGATCTAAATCATGATAATTGCCTGGATATTGCTGCAGCTACTCTGGGCTATAGTACGGTAACTGTCATTCTTGGCTATGGTAATGGATCTTTTGCAGAAAAGAAAATCTTTCCAGTTGGTACTCTCCCGGTATCTATTGCTATTGGTGATTGTAATAATGATAATCATCCAGATATTATTGTTGCTAATAATGGTGACAATTTCATCAGTATTTTATTAGGAAACGGCGATGGTTCATTTCGTACTCAAATAACATATACAACTGGCTCTGGTCCACGTTCTTTAGCAATTCATGATTTTAATAATGATGGCTATCGGGATATTGTTGTGGCAAATCAAGGTGATGCATCTTTAGTCATCATGTTCGGCCAACAGAATCTCGTTTTTCAAAAACAAACAACACTCTCGACTGGTAACAGCTCTCGATCACGATCAGTTGTAATTGATGATTTCAATAGTGATTATCATATGGATATTATTGTTGCTAATTCAGGTACGAATAATATTGGTATTTTCTTTGGGTACGGAAACTTTACTTTTGCAAACCAAATAACATATTCAACTGGTAATAATTCATATCCATATTCAGTTGCGGCAGGTTGTTTCAATAATGATACTCGATTAGATCTTGTTACTGCTAATTATGGTTCTGATAGTATTAGTATTTTTCTTAATGACAAGAGTAACTCATTTATAAATCAAAGAACATATTCAACAGGTTCATCATCATCACCTTATTCTGTTACTGTTGGAGATTTTAATAATGATAATAATTTGGATATCATTGTTATAAATAATGATAATAATAAATATGGAGTGTTTCTTGGTCATGGTGATGGAATATTTGATTCAGTAATATTATTTGCAATGCCATATGGATCTCATCCATCCTCATTAGCACTCGCTGATTTTAATCATGATGGCAAAGTGGATATTACTGTGATGAATAATGGAACAGACAGTTTAAGTCTATATATACAAACTTGTTAATTGTATTCTTTTCAGAATAAAATTAATAAGTTTTTCCTTTTTCACTGCTGTAACTTGTCTTACAATATAATGACTGTACTCTGAGATACGATAACTTTTAATCAGTCCACTTGCACCGTAATATAATAAACGATTTGAAGCTCTCATGATCTTTATCACTTTTTTCGCTATCTTTTTCGTATATTGTCAATTAATTCTGGAAGATTTATTATTTTAGTCAAGAGAGGGTAAGTAATTGTCGAGTGCTAACTATATCTACAAAAAAAAGGTTCATCGATCACTTATTGCTGGCATATATTTGATCTTTATAATCTGTATTTGTGTACTCAAAAAGTGGGTACACTACTAGAATCGGTCAGTGTGTCCGTCCGTGTACTAGGTTGTGGAAAAAGTTCGTGCGCCGTGTTATAATATTAATAATAGTAACGCGGTGCACAAACTTTTTCCTCAATCTGGTATACCATGTTGTAGAGCTTTTTGAGGCGCATCGAACGGTATATGATAACTCTTGTNAATAAAGATTCAATTGGATACAAATTCGCATCCATTATCAATTACTTTTGGTGATTTTAACAACGATCAACAATTGGATCTTGCTGTAGCTCTTGCTGCTCCATCAAATCAGATTGGAATGTTACTTGGAAATGAACACGGATCATTTGTTCTTCAAGATATTATCCAAAATCGTTCAAATTCTCCTCCTTTGATTGTTTCAGCTGGTGATTTTAACGCTGATGGACAATCAGAAATTGTTGTTGCATTTGACAACAGTGACTCAATTGATATGTTCATTACATATAATACAGGAACTTTGATAATGACACATAAATATTCAGTTGGTTTAGCTCCATTATATGTAGTTCTTGATTATCTTAATAACGATAGTTATATTGATATTATTCTTGTTGAATATAACGCATATGATATAAGGATTTTTTATGGAAAAGAGAATGGAAGTTTTACAGACCCAAGAGTATATTCAACCGACTTTCGCCCATATTATGCTGCAGTTGGCGATTTTAATTCTGATCATCGACTAGATGTAGTTGTTGGAAGTTCTCGTGTTCATATACTCAACATATTCTTCGGATCTGATAATGATACTTTTTCTAATTCAACTACTTATTCAGTTGATGACGGTATACGACATCTAGCAGCAGGCGATTTCAACGAAGATAATCGATTAGATCTAGTTGCCGTGGCTGAGAGTCAAAATATTATTCTATTTCAAGGATTTGGTAATGGTTCTTTTTTCGTAACTGAAATTAAAAATCAAAGTACAGATGATCAACGATTCATAGTTGTAGCTGATTTTAATAATGATTCTCATTTGGATTTTGTTATTTCGAATTATGGTAACAATTACGTTGGTATTTATCTCGGTTATGGAAATGGCTCTTTTACTCAACAAATAACATATTATGTTGACTCCCATCCATATGCATTGGCAGTGGGCGATCTAAATCACGATAATCGCCTGGATATTGTTGCAGCTACTTTGGGCCATAGTACGGTAACTGTCATTCTTGGCTATGGTAATGGATCTTTTGCAGAAAATAAAATCTTTCCAGTTGGTACTCTCCCGGTATGTGTCGCTATTGGCGATTGTAATAATGATAATCATCCAGATATTATTGTTGCTAATAATGGTGACAATTTCATAAGTATTTTATTAGGAAATGGCGATGGTTCATTTCGTACTCAAATAACATATACAAGTGGTTCTGGTCCACGTTATTTAGCAATTCATGATTTTAATAATGATAGTTATCGGGATATTGTTGTGGCAAATCAAGGTGATGCATCTTTAGTCGTCATGTTCGGCCAGCAGAATCTCGTTTTTCAAAAACAAACAACACTCTTGACTGGTAACAGCTCTCGATCACGATCATTTGTAATTGATGATTTCAATAATGATCATCATATGGATATTATTGTTGCTAATTCAGGTACGAATAATATTGGTATTTTCTTTGGGTACGGAAACTTCACATTTACAAACCAAATAACATATTCAACTGGTAATAATTCATATCCATATTCAGTTGCGGCAGGTTGTTTCAATAATGATACTCTATTAGATCTTGTTACTGCTAATTATGGTTCTAATACTATTAGTATTTTTCTTAATGACAAGAGTAACTCATTTATAGATCAAAGAACATATTCAACAGGTTCATCATCATCGCCTTATTCTGTTACTGTTGGAGATTTTAATAATGATAATAACTTGGATATCATTGTTATAAATAATGATAATAATAAATTTGGAGTGTTTCTTGGTCATGGTGATGGAATATTTGATTCAGTAATATTATTTGCAATGCCATATGGATCTCATCCATTCTCATTAGCACTCGCTGATTTTAATCATGATGGCAAAGTGGATATTACTGTGATAAATAATGGAACAGACAGTTTAAGTTTATATATACAAACCTGTTAATTGTATTTTTTTTCAGAATAAAATTAATAACTTTTTCCTTTTTCACTGCTGTAACTTGTCTTACAATATGATGACTATACTCTCAGATGAATGAATAAGCAACTCATGGCTTATCGAGAAAGGAATTAATATTCTTCTATGATTCGTTATGTGTTGTATCTTACACACTAGTTTGCAGTATACATAAGTCCCAGCTAAAACTCGAAGTTTTCACATTTATTTCTCTTCACTTTTTACTATATTGACTGAAAGTCATGCTTCTGAAATCGTTCACTTATAGATGCACGTACGTATTTCTACAGTCATTAATTGCTTGTTATTAGTCATTCACTCTTTATAATTTTTTTTTTACTTCACAAAACCTTGCCTACGAAATATTTTTCCACATGACAGTGATGCATGCAGATAATTCGAGCGGTAATGAAGCATGGGAGCAATTATCTTCCTGTATTCTTTTCGACGGCCAAATGTTGACTTAAGTGATGCCTGTACGCGTCAATATACGGACTTTTTTCACTCGATATATTCAAAGGAAAGTGAATGACGTGCAAAAGATATAGGACACAGTCGACTAAACACACATACGCACACAGAACGAAAAGAGTATAGTGGTGGGCACAACAAGCTTGTTTTCCTTGATGATTGGATGAGCGAAGGATACAACATTGAAAAAAAGATACTATAAAACATCAAAATCCTTCTATATTACTCTAACTGGACAAGCTGATCGTTGAAAATCAACCACAATCGAACACTGCTGTTGTGCACTGGAGATGGAATACATGACACGGTCTAACAAAGTCATAGACTACTATTGTTCTTTGCATCTGAAACACAACAATATTACGCCAGTTTAACCTCGACAAAGCGAGGTATGCCATTACGTCACCAAGCAGTTCGTAATTCTTTCTATAGCTGACAATTGAATGCACAGACGGTCTCACTCAGTTCGCTTCCTTTACAAGCCTTTCGACGAGCAATATCCCCGAGTAGTTTAATCAATATGCTCATGGGATCTCAATCATTTCAACCAAAACAGTGGCTTGCGTGAAGGCATTTACAGTTTTTTTTCTGTTTCTCTTGCTTGTTGTTTCGCATACAATTTCGGGAAGCCGAAGTTGGGGTAATGCTGTGAGTTAGCACGACCTGAACCGGAACAACAGCTCTTCTTTCTATCCTTTTGGTATTCTCTGCTTCTTGTTGTTCCGCATACAATTTCGGGAAGCCGAAGTTGGGGTAATGCTATGAGTTAGCACGACCTGAACCGGAACAACAACCACCTCCTCCCCTCTGGTTCGTCGTTTTGTTGGACTGTGCTGGGAAGATGAGCCGATGTAGGAGTGCGTCAACTGTGTGTGTGTGCTTACATTTGGAATGCAAGTGGGTGACGAATGAAAAAAGAAGTCTTTTCACCAGTTGCACAAGACCTATCAAGGTGCATGATCTACAACCACTGCAGGGTCGTTCGTTGCTGCTTGGCGTTTTGGTATGAAGCCACCGCATTCGGCATTGTATGTGATATTCTGATTATAATGTTACATAGGATAAACTGAATGCTGAGCATTGCGAGCCATGTTATTTGGAAATCTCATAGACGCGCACATCATATGCGCGCTAGCATTGTTTTCTTTACTGTGACTGTCATGAAAGTGGCAAAGGCAAGAAACAAATATCTGTACTATCACATAGAACACCCTCCAAGTTTAACTTATGTGTAAGGTTTTCAAAAATAAAGATAAATCGCAGTGTGGGTGTGGATGTGAGAGCAGGCAACAGCTATCGAATGCGGAACCAAATGTGTCAAACTGAAGGTAAGTTCAGTAGTATCATACGTGAAAGTTGAACCCAAGTACCCAACTAATCTAGGAATCCACTACTCTAGCACGTACTGCGCGCCCTCACTTCGGTATTAAATACCTGAATTCAAATTTCACGTTATGCATATACGGTGACAGTAGCAACATCCTGTATTGTTCATCATCATACAGTTATTTTCAGTATATGTAGCAAGATATTTCGAGAAATATGAATGAATTACAGATCGAAACAGGTAAGTCCTGTGAAACCATCATTTTATTCGGACTTGTCCAGTTCAGAGTGCCTTTTTTTATGTAGTGTTCTATAAAGCAGTTTCTGTTAGTTATACCTGTTAGGAAACCCTTAATATCACATACATTAGCTAAACTTTCAAAGCTGATCAGTAACACAATCTCTCAGTTAGGCAAATAGCTAAGAGCAAAATCCCACGGGTCCCACCAGCTTGAGTTCATACACTATACTTCTCATTTATCGTAAAATCACTTTTTGAGTAGAAAGCATGTTTTGATCTGTTAAAGCAGTAAAAGCCAAATTCTACACAGTGCACAGTTTTTAGGAGTTAAATCGCATTGCTTCGCTGATTTGGCTCCTTGAATAGTGCCCCTCAAAAATAGGCTTTTATCTCCTCAATAATTCGCCACAAGAATGTCCACAGATATTTTTTCAAAACAGTTTCATCGAGTTCGAGCCCTGATGGATGCCAACTTTTATAAATGTGAAAGGTAAAATGACGGAATATAGCTGCCTATTTAAAAGCTACTAAGTCTGTAACATACAAATCATACTACTTACAATGTGTATTACACCGACATTATTAGCTTGGAACCCATTTGGGCTTCAAGAAGATAACCCAGGTCGAACAATCCCATACCCGGATCTCGTCGGATCCAGCATCGGATTTGTTGACCTGGGAAGTGCCAAACCAGCTGACGTTCATACGAGGTTTGATAACGGATCATGAAAATAAGAGAATATCAGGAACCCTTCTGTAGCTAAAAGAGCTGAAATGATTCTTTAACCCTAGTACTACCAACCAGGGTCCAAATGGATCCTGCTCTAATGAAATTGGAAAATGCTGTGTAGTATTGTTTTTCGTAAACCAATGTATGGAATGTGTTATACATGTCATAAAAGCGTATCATATAAATGGGAAATAGGCCCGAGAAAGTATTCTTCTCCTGTACAAATACTTTCCTTAGTTTTTCTTTTTTATCTGCTGCATTTATGAATAGGGGTATACAAGTTCAAGCTCAAGAACCGACTCGAATGAACTTTAGAACTGCAATACCGTTCATTGTGAACAAACTAAACTGTTCAAACAGTTCTTTTGAATGAGCTGAACTTTTGGAATCATTCATTTTTAGCGCATTAACGACAAGTAAACTATAAAATAAGACGATTTCGAACGAAGAGAACTAGTTTCTGAATCGATTCAAAACGATCAATTCAGCTCATTTGAACTGAGCTGCTGGAAAATGAGCGGTTCTAAGCTTGAACTGAACTTTGTAGACCCATATCTATGAATGAAATAAACACTTATCATTTTTTTTCTTATTTTTATTCATGATATTAATGGCTTTTTCTCTCTATCACGGCTAAAGAATGTTCTAGAACGTTCTCCTTATAGGAACAATCCGGCTTTCATCAGATGCTTGTTGAAAAGTGAAAAAATAACGTTTTCATAATCTACTCTATTTGTTATCGTGCAGATAGGCTTGGGAGTACTAGGGTTAAATATTGCCGCTTATTTTTAGTGGATGGTAGCTAGAAAACGTTCTGTCCCGTTCTATTGGTTGTAAAAACCAGCTAGCTATCAGAACTAACAATGAACGACGAAACAAAACAAAACATATTCAATATCTGCAATTTTCATGTGAAGTGCCCATGCAGGCACGCACCCAGGATTTTTTTTCGGGGGGGGGATCAAAGTTTCTAAAGCTTATTTAGTCAATTCTTTGTTCATTTATAATAAAAGATTAAAAGACAAAACATGAATTCAAATAATCCTTTTTGTT